TGTGATTTGAACATCAACTATCCATGAACCATTGTTGACTGCTTTCTTTCACTGTTCCCTGCACAAGAAGATCAAGAGTTAGTTTTTGGAACCCAAGCAAGTTTGGGTCCCTTGTAGTAGGCAAGAGGGTAAATGAGAGCTCTCTTAGTCCATGCAGGTAATATGCGCTTTTTGTGGGTGGAACTTGGTCCCTTTTTAGTAGTTACATTTTCAGCAAACACTTTGTTTTTTTGAAGGGACATAACCCTGGCTTGGCAATTTTCCTTGAAATGCCCATTGTTACCACAGTTGGTACACAGCCAGTTATCTGGTACAGTAACATACTTGCGATGGGGGTTGTAAGGAGTTTTCTCCCTTTGGAACCTTATTCCCTACCTGTTTCCACCATTATTAACATACATGGCAGTGATAGCTTCTGAGGACCAGGTCCACTTTAGAGAGTTTTCAAGATCATTTTTTATTCTTTCAAGTTCAGTCTGGAGATGCTTGTTTTACTCAGATTCAACACACAGACTAGTTCTCACGGCCTTTAACTCGTTTTCACGCCTAATATATTCCTCACTTGCTACCTCTTTTCCTTTTCCAGAATTTCTAGGTTTTGACTCAGTCCCTAGTCCCTCTATTGTTTCCCTCAGGTCTGCAATCACTACCAAGAGATCGTCTCTTTCTTCCTCAATCTCAGTCACTATTTTCATCAAGATTCTCTTTCTTTTCTGAACTTTTCAATAGTTTCCTTATGGTCAACAACTACAACCACTAAGTTATCTCTTTTAGTTTCTATGTCAACAATTATTTTGGTTAAAACAAATTTTTCTTTCTGCAGCCCACAAATGGTTTCCTTCAGATCAACTACACACACTACCTGATCATCTCTAGTTTGTTCAGCTTCTCCTAGCTCTAAGGTCAAAGTATCCTTATCCTCCACAAGACTATGATAGGCATCAATCAATACACTAGCTAAAAACATGAGTTTCTTAGGAGAGTAGGACTTCAGATTCCTCTGAACATCCCTAAAATTTACCTTACTGTTGTCATCGTCTTCATCATCATCTGATTGGGCCATCAAAGCAAATATTGAATCATAGTCATTTTCCTCACTTTCAACTACCATCATGGAGTTGTCACCTGTATCAGTTTCATCTTCAGACTCACTAGAGGAGTCTCCCCAAGTTGCAAGAGCATGTTTCACCACATTGTCAGCAGATCTCTTCCTCTTGAAGTCCTTGTCAGGAACCGGGTTCCTCTTGGCTGCTTTCTCAGGGTTGTACTTGGAGTACTCTTGCTTCAGGAGAGGACAATCTTTGATGAAGTGCCTGGGCTTTCCGCACCTATGGTAGAGATCATAGTTCTTTAGTTTGCTAGAGCTGCCCCTTTTCAGTATTCCTCCATTTCTTCTGAAATCTTTTGGTTAAGTAAGCCATGTCACTGTCCTCCTCACTCGAGTCATTGCTATCAGCTTTGAGTACCAGGTTCTTTTCTTTCTTTGGTTCTCTTTCTTCACTGTCTATCTTCCTCTTCATCTCGTAGGTCTTCAGATTTCCAACGAGCTCGTCTATGGTCAGCTCCTGCAGGTCCTTTGCTTCAGTAATAGCATTCACCTTGCTTTCCCAAGAACTGGGCAGGATACTGAGAAATCTTCCTCACTAGCTTGTTCCTAGGAATGGTTCACCAAGTGAGTGTAACTCATTTATGATGGAGGTGAATCTTGTGTGCATATCGTGAATAGATTCATCATCCTTCATCCTAAAGAGTTCATACTCAGTAGTGAGCATATCAATCTTAGATTGGTTTACTTGAGTGGTTCCCTCATGTGCTGTTTGCAAAGCTTCCCATATCTCCTTTGTAGTTTCACAAGTAGAAATTCTAATGTATTCATCGGGTCCTATTCCACATACCAAAATCTTTTTTGCATGAAAAGTTTTCTCCACAACTTTCCTGTCTGCGTCGGTGTATTCTTTTCTGGTTTTTGGCATTGAGAATGGAAGTTCTGCAAGTGCCTTTGTTGGGATGTAAGGACCATCACGTATGAAATATAGCAACTCAGAATCTCCAGCCATGATAAAGTGATGCATTCTTGCCTTCCACCACCCATAGTATTGCCCATTGAACCTGGGTAGTCTGTACGTAGATTGACATTCTTCCAAATTTGGTGGAGCAGCCATACGGATACTTCCTCGGCGTTAGCCTAATAGCAGGAACCTGCTCTGATACCAATTGTTAGTTTATATGAGTCCACCAGCTATAGAGTACCTGGTACCCTATGAGTTTCTTCTGAGAATACTAATGAAACTGTAAGTAAATGAGACACGGGATTTTTACATGGAAAAATCCCACTCAAGGGGACAAAAACCACGACCTACACTTGTAGACTTTCAACTCCACTAACTTGTAACAACTCTATTACAAGCCACTTTGTAATGACTCTATTACAAAGACTTCAACTTAACTAACTTGTGATACACTTACCACAAGCCACTTTGTCACTCACTAGTTACAATGACTTTAACTTATGACTATATCTAGTCACAACACAAACTCAGAAAGTTTATGGTTTTACAAAGGGGTTCCTAAGCAACGCTTCTAGCTAAGCAATTTAGGAATTACAATAAGAACAATCACAAAGTTACAACTCAACTAAGGACAACAAAATACTAGATTTAGGAACTGGTCCGTAGTAGCGTGTAACTTTGTTCTTCAAGCTCTTGAGAATTTAGTTCACTGTTTGCAGAAGGCTTGAATGCTTGAAGTGAATTCTCAAGTGTTCAAGTGATGTTTTGTTATAATTCTCTAGTTGATACACTCTTGATGACATCACTTGAATGATGTAAGCATTTGGTTGGTCAAAGGTAAGTGACTGCAAAACTTCTGCATTATGTGCACTATTTTTGTGGCAGTCACTTTCCAGCTGTACACGGTTGACTTTCGTACTGCTGTCAGGGAAACACAAGGGATCAGATCCTTGTCTTGTTTCTCTATTTTCTACACTTGCAGCAGTTCACATTAGCCGGAGTCCTGGATGGAATCCGTTCATTTGTAATGTGTACTAAGTGTGTCAGGTTCCCTATCTGGTTCTTGACAGTAAGTTTGTTAGATCATCAAAAGATAGGGCAAAGACATTGAAAACCCATCATTACCTTATTTAGAATTAGGCCAGCAATTGGTCTCTTTGGAGTCTGTAGCTTTCTATTTGGGCTTGTATTATTTTATTTGGGGCCGGTAATAACTTGTCAAACTGAATGTGGGGATATTAGTGAAATGGGTTGCTGGGGTGCTTTAATTCTCGCATGAATGGGTAGAAACATGCCTATAGGGTTTAATTACTTATTATAGTTTGTTTGACATGTTCTATTTCCATACGCTAATAGAAAGTACACCTATCGAAACTCAAAAGCTTTACCTGCTTAACATGTCCTATGCCCACACACCGCTAGAAAGCATGCCTATAGGAATTTAAATATTTCACTCGCTTCATTTCTGAACGATATTAGATAGTATGCACATAGGATTCAAGCATCATTCATTACTTATTCAACTTGTGCTATTGTTGTGATTGTTAGATACTCAACTTATACGATCCTGTTAAGTAATTAAGATGTGCCTCCACCAATATTCATCTTGATACCATGTCTATAGGGCCTTAATTGATTAACTAAATGGTTGTTTTGTTGTTCTTATCACACTGTCCGCCTAGAAAACATGCCTAAAGGAATAAGCATGACGAATTCATGTTCAAATACCAACTGTTCAGAGAACATGCCTATTGGATATCTCTACTCGCTTAAAAAGCATACCTATATGACTAAATATGAATAATTTTGAGTTTTCCAATGCCTTCAATACCCAATCGCAAATCACCTAGAATCATGTCTATAGGCTTCCAATAACAATTATAATATGTAATTTCAATAATCTGACTAGCAATACTGCTTATGAGATTTTATTACACCTTTCGGTCAGATAGAAGCCATGCCTATAGGGTTTTAAACGACTTCAATGCATCTCAGCTCTAAAACTGCCTACGACTCATCACTGCATAATCTAAAACTGTGACTGATTGCGTGCTTTTGTGCTTATGTGTGGAGGCTAACATGAGCCACTCATTGCTATTATGTGCAGTCCTTTTTGTTTGAATGTGCACCTAGTTTTATCTCTTTGAGCACCCTAAGTAAAGTCTAGAAGCACCCAAATAGTAGGTCCAAAGCCTCCTGGACCATAGGCATGGAACGAGTATTGTGCGCATAGGACACATTTTACAATTGAACTAGAGAGCTTTTGGTGAATAACTTTAACATAGTAATTGGGTAGCAGGAGGTGATAGTCTGTTCACGCTGAATAATATGAGCAACCCCCCTTAAGGGAGTTAAGAAGTATTATTTATGTTGCACGGCATGAACATTTAGGCTAAAAAACTTAGGACCCCCCCCCCCCCATATGTCTATCACTCGCACCTTTGTTTCTTCGCACTTAGAACAAATTAGGTTGTACCTTGTAATCTCCAAAGGCTTGTACTAATCATCTAGTAATGTATAGTCTAATTCTTTCCTAGGTGTTATCTTCTTTACACTTGTTTTATATCGTAGTCGAATATTTGAATTCAAATCTTCCTTTAATTTACATGATCACATAGGACAATTATAATCCAGTAATCCCATATTGCGTTAGTTTCGGCCGCAGCCCACAGTTGTGGACCTCGAGGAGTACCTAACACTTTTTCTCTGAGGTAATTCCAGCCTTACCCAATCTTTGGCAGCACAAACTATTTAAAATAGAGTTATTTGCAAATAGGTTCCCTTAACGCATCGTAAAATTGTTAGGTGACGACTCTTCTCTTTTAATACTGATCACATGTCGAAATCGGCTTTCACGAGAAAATGGGGCGTGACAGCAACAGTATAAAATTAAGTAAGATGCCGCCAAAAAATATTTTTAGCATTGTAACCTTCCTTTTTAACATAGCCAATCATTGAGGGACCAGGTCCTAAATTGAGCTTGATCAACCCTTACTCCAGACGATTTCTTTCAAAAGGTTCCCTGCCCAGTGCCTTGGTGAATATGTTTGCTACTTGGTCCTCCGTCTTCCATAATGTCATACAAATCAGACCCTTTTCAACATTGTCCCTCAGGAAATGGTGCCTCGCATCAATGTGCTTTGTCCTTTTGTGTTCCACCGTGTTCTTTGCCATGTAGAGTGCACTTGTATTATCACACAATAAAGGACACAGTCTATAAATACACCAAAATCCTCAAGTTGTTGCTTGATCCATATAAGTTGAGCATAATAAGAAGAGCAACCACATACTCAGCTTCAGCAGTGGAAAGAGTCACGGACTTTTGTTTCATTGTACCCCACGAGATCAAGCATGGCCCTAGAAAATGTTTCATTCCAGATGTACTATTTCTATCCACCATATATCTAGCATAATAAACCTAGTCAGAATTACCTCCTGAAAGATAGAAGAGGACCAGGTCCTGCATTTCTTGAGATACCTCAAAATTCTTTTGGCAGTCATTAAGTCAGATTCTTTTGTGCTTGATTGGGACCTAGCACACAACCCAGCACTAAAGACAATATCGGGTATGCTAACAATCAAGTATATAAGAGACCCAATGATACCCCTATGCATTGTTTCATTGACAGGAGAACCAGTTTCGTCCATGTCAATTGGAGTAGCAATGGCAATAGGTGTATCAATGGTCTTAGTATTCTCCATCTCAAATCTTTTCGGCAGCTCCTTGAAGTATTTATGTTAACTGATCATAGTGCCTTTTGAGGTTTTCTTTATTTCGTGTTGTGTTTCCAAATTCATCAATTTTGTTTCAGAACACCCACCTAGTTCCAATCACTATTATGTTAGAAGGCCTAGGGATCAGGTGCCACACTTTGTTTCTCTCGATCCGATGGAGTTCTTGCATAGCAGCTATCCATTAAGCATGTTTCAATGCTTCCTTGACGTTCTTAGGCTCGATTTGAGACTAGAAGGTTGATAAAGCAAACATGTTCCTTGTCTTAGATCTAGTTTAAATACCAGAGTCTAAGGGAGTGGTTATATATTAAAGGGGACGTGAGCTCTTGTGCTTCTAGTTTGATGCTTGAACTTCAGGATTCAAGGGAGTAGATTCCTCCATATTTGATCCATCATTTACATCAACCGAGCATGACTTTCACTTCTTTGTCTATGATCCAGAGTAGCTGATATATCATTATCATCCCTATGTTCAGCTTCAATTGAGGTAATACAGGGGCAAGGTTCCTCTGTGCCTCCTAGAGATTTTTCTACATCTCCTTCATCGCTCTGCTTGATTTGACTCATCAGATAAGTATCCCTATTTTCCATATCTATAGCTTCATCAAGAAATTTTGTAAATTCTCCATCTTCATCTTTTTTGTTATGTGACCCTTTGCCACTTGATTCATGGTATTCATCAAAGATAACATGCTCCCTTTCTTCTACACACTAGGTTCTTTTGTTGTAGATCTTGTATGCCTTGCTTTGAGAGGAGTAACCAAGAAAAATTCCTTCATCACTTTTTACATCAAAAATTCCCAAAGCCTTCTTACCATTTTTCATAACGAAACATTTGCATCCAAAGGCTCCCAAGTAAGTCATCTTGGGTTTTCCCATTGAGCAGTTCATAGGGAGTCTTCTTGAGCAGGGACCTGATCATGCACTTGTTAATCAAGTAGCAGGCAGTGTTGACTTCTTCAGCCCACGAACCAGGTCCTTCATAACCTACTTGTTTAGCAAATAAAAACTCACATGCCCCAACCGTCCGTGCCATAACTTACCATCATCATCAATGAACTTAGGTATGTTAGATCACCACCATTTAGTGAATGAAGGTCTGCAACATAGATGTTCTTGAACCTTTTGGCAGTCAACACCACTTTACCAATTTTGAGATTGGTGACAGTGCAAGATTTGGACAAGAGCTGCACTTCATTTTCCCTTGTCACAGATTTGAGACACACTCAATAAGTTATATTTCAAGCCATTCACAAAGTACACATTTTTGATTGCATGGGAGAGTGTTTTGCCAATTTTACCAACACCAAGAATATAACACTTCTTGTTGTTTCCAAAAGATACACTCCCACATTATAAGGCCTTGAGTGAGAGAAAAACATCCATTCTTACAGTCATATGCTTAAAGTAGTCTTTATCCATGTACCATTTCTGACTGTTATCTCTCACTCCATCCTGCACACGAAAACACTGATTAGACTTAGGAACCCAAGCTATCTTGGGTCCCTTATAATTATAGAACGGGCGGATCAAACTTTCTATGGCCCATGTATGCAACACATATTTCTTTTTCAGAGAACCAGGTTCCTCAACAGTATGCTTTCTTTCAATAAAAGCTTTATTTTTCAGTAGAGACTAAATTTTCGCTTTACAAGAGTCCTTTCAGTTACTAGTTTGACCACACTAAGTATACAACGAATTATCAACCACAGTTACATACTTGCTATGGGAATATAGGAGTTTTTAGCCTTTTGGAACCCGATTCCTTGCCTGTTTTCACGATTACTGTTGTTTATAAAGGCTATTTCATCAGAGGACCAGGTCCATTTAAGTGACTTATCAAGATCATTTTAACCCTTTCCAGATCCTCTTGAAGTTGTCTATTCTTTTCAAGCTCGACAACAAGACTTGTTTTAACTTCCTCAAGCTCAAGTTGAGCCTCACTAGCACTTCTTTTCCTTTAGGGGTGTCCATCCATTTTCTTATTTTATTTTTCAACAAGGTATTTTCTCTAGTTACTTCTTTCACTTGTTCTTTCAAGTCTATAATAGAAACTACCATATCATCTCTCTCTTGTTCTATGTCACTAATTTCTTCAATTAGAGCATTTTTCTCATTAATGAGGCTATGATAGGCATGAATCAACACATTTGCTAAGGACATAAACTTTTCTTGGAGTAAGTTTTCAAATTTCTTTGAGCATAGAAAAAGCTTACCTTATCTTCCTCCTTGTCCTCATCAGCATCAGATTTAGCCACGAGTGTAAAGATTGACTCATATTCTGAAGATTCATTATCAACAACCATCATAGATGTATATCCTAGGTCATTTTCACCTTCAGATTGACTGGAGGAATCTCCCCAGGAAGCTAGGACTTGCTTCACCATGTTGTAAGCATCATCTCTTCTTTTGAACTTTATGTCAGGGTCCTGGTTCCTCTCATCCGCCTTATCAGTGTTGGTTTTGTAATGATCCTGCATATGAAGAGGACAGTCTTTAATGAAGTGTCCAAACATTCTACACTTATGACAGTAATCATTTCCTTTGAAATTCTTGCTGGAACTTCCTTTCTTTGGAATCCCACAATTTCTTCGAATCATCTTTTGGAATCTTCGAGTGAGATACAACATGTCGAATAACCACTACTTAAGTCATTGTTGGCAACCTTGAGAACCAGGTTCTTCTCCTTTTCGTCTCTCTTCTTTTAAGATATTTCTTTCTCTTCATCTCATAGTTTTTCAGATTTCCAATGAGTTCATCAATGGTCAGCTTCTGAAAATCCTTGGCTTCAGTAATAACATTCACTTTACTTTCTCAAGAATCTGGTAACACATTGAATATTTTTTGGACCAGCTTGTTTCTTGGATGACTTCTCCAAAGCAGTTAAGCTTGTTAATAATGGAGGTGAAATGTGTATGTATGTCCTGAATATACTCATCCTCATTCATCTTGAAAAGCTTGTACTAAGTAGTAAGCATATCAATTTTTGACTGCTTAACCTGAGTAGTTCCCTCATGGACAGTTTGGAGAGCTTCCCAGATCTCCTTAGTAGAATGACAGGCTGAGATGTGGTTGTATTCATCTGATCTGATGCCATAAACAAGAATCTTCTTTACCATGAAATTCTTTTCAATGGCCTTTCCATCAGTATCGTTGTACTCTTTTCTTCTTTTTGGGACTGTAACTGTTCCCTCATCAATAGTTTTCATGGGAACAAAAGGTCCATGACAGATTACATCCCACAACTCTAAGTCCTCATCCATGATGAAGTCATACATTCTTATATTCCACCAACCATAGTATTGGCCGTTGAATCTTGGTGGTCCGTAAGTTGATAGTCCTTCCTCAAAGTTTGGTGGAGCAGCCATGAGGATCTTTTCTAGGTGTTAACCTTTTAGAAAGAACCTGCTTTGATACCAATTCAGAAAAACTAAAAGCCCGAAAAACTTTATAGAAAACTAAGTTCTCTATATGTTCCCACAGTCAATATGGAGTAAATAAAGAAACACATGATATTTATGTGAAAAGATCCTTGCTCAAGGGATTAAAAGCCACGAAATACCCTAGTAGGATTTCAACTCCACTAAACCGAGCAAACTTCAGATTACAACCTATTGCAATCTAGGAATTAATATCTTAATCCCTTACCTCTTACTATAACTCTATCTCGATTTAATATCTTAATCCCTCACCTCTTACAATAACTCTATTGTAAGCCCTTCGCAATAACTCTATTATAAAGCAAAGAACCTTGATTAACTCTAGCCAAGAAACCAAACCAAACAATGGATGAAATTTGTCCTACAAAGGCACTTCATGAAAGTAGTATAGGATTACAAATGAAGAATAAATTGACATAGACTCAACAAACCTAAGGACTTAAGATATCTTCAATCTCTGCATCTGGTCCTTGAGGTTGTAGCAGCTTTCTGCTTGAGAGAGCCCTGAAAGCTGTGGCGGCTAGCACTTGAGAGAATATGAATTTTTGGTTTGCAAATTTTAGGTTAAACCTTGCATCATGTTCTATATATACAAGTGAACATGTGAGAAGATAGGGTCTTTTAGTTTGGCCTTAGCAAGCTACAGTTGTGATGTTGTACTGCAACAACTTTTGTAGCTGTAAAGTTGACAGCACATTGACCAGCGAAACTTATTCACACCTGGTCCCTATCTGGTCCTCAAGAATATTTGACCAGCATCAAAACATGAAGTAAAAAATCTGTTGTCAGTCGGTACAACGCAACAACTTTTACAGCTGTAGACTTGACTGTACGATGGCCAAGGGAACTGATCACATTTGGTCCCTATCTGGTTCTTCGTGAACGTTTGGCAAATCAAAACACAAAATAGCATAACGTGTGGTAGAAATTCATAAAGGTAATAAAAGGGAATCACTACAATAGACTCTGTTATGTTAAAGTACATTGCTGAACTTGTGCTTTGCAAGTAGAATTAAGCTTAACACAAGTTTTTTATGTTATTCTTTATTGAAATGCCAATATGGTTAGTCCTCATTGTGCGAACGAGAGTACAAATTGATAAATTTTAGTATGTTAAGAAAGGAAATAGGAGACAACTAGGGATGATAAAAGTTTAAGAGGTCATTTATTAATCAAAGTTGTGAGCAATAGATTATCCAGTTGCAATAACCACTACTTAAAAATGTCTCATTTCTGACCAAAATATTCCGACGGAAAAAAGTAGTCAGAAATTTCCTACGGAATCGGTCGAAAAATGCATAAAAATGTATATTTCACTTTTCAATAATAGTTACGACTAATATTACTATAACGACACAATTGGTCGTTTTTCATTCTAGAATCATGTTAACCTAAATAAGACTTCACATACTTGCTTTAAATGATTTATCACTTGCAGGAATGGCTGGTTCGGGATTTGGAAGAGTTTGGGTTGAAATCGGAGCACTTGGATCCTTAAGGTTGGCTTAAATGGCCAAGTTTGACTTC